TGTCTTTAAATTTTACAGATATTTTCATGAGCAAACCGATCTCCTCCTCTGGCAATAGAGCTGCCCCTGCTGGCAAAAGGGCTGCTCCTGCCAAGAAAACGGCTCCTCAGAAGAGCCAAGCTATGGAGGTTGAAAAGTCCTCCACTTAGATCAAACAACCAAAACCCATTTCTCCATCCTTTAAGTCCGTCAGCCAACAAACCGACAAACGGGTCGACCAGTTCGTGGAAAATGGGCACCGACCACCGCTCTAGCAAGAAGCCCCCCAACCCCGAACTGGCCGACCCCAATAGAAAAAACCTCACATCGAGGAGAAAGATAAGGAGGTTCTTCTGCTCCGCTCATTGACACCCGATGGGGGAAAAGAGATGACCTCCTACTTCAAGGAGACCTTGCCCATTAGGGACACCCACCTCTGGGATGTCGAACGCAAGGCTCAGTGTGAATATGCCGCACGATCTCTGACCCAGGTAAACTTTTGACATCTTCAATTTCATTTAAGATTTGTAAACCCTGATAGACTTCTATCTTGTTCTAACCCCTCACTTTGGCTCCATATTCAGGCTCTTGCGTCTGTCATGCTGTCTCTCGATGAGACTTTGGCCAGCTCTGATCGACCTATCTCCAAGGTCGAGCGATAGAAACCGAGGCTCTATGAGAAAAACCAGCAACTGGTCAAGGTGCAAATCGAATTTACTCATCAGATGAAGAAGGACGGTTTGCATCACAAAGATGAGCTCATGGCCAAGGAACGCGAGCTCGAAAATGAGGCTTTTTGTTGCAAAGAAGAGGTGGTGAAAGTGGGGATTGCCGCCGCGGGGCAAGCTTGACAGTTGTTCTGGCCGACAAGCATCAGCCCGAGGTTCCTTAAGGAGTATCGTGAGTAGGTGCCATACCTGACGTCCCGACTTACTTAGAAGGCAATGTTGCCCTTCCACCCGACCACGCCTGGTGGTCGGAGACTTTGGATTGGACTCTCCCTCGGTCTAAGTCTCTGAAGATGCAAGTCGACCTCCCTCAACTAGGTATTGCTCCTATCATCTGGCTGACTGTCACCGCGACAGTCGCGGTGGTCGAAGCTGGTATGTCGGGCCAGACTGCCTTTTCTTCTAATGCTCCGAGACCAACTCCCTCGATCGAGCCGAACGCCGAGCCTACCTTTGACCTGACCACCAATACCGAAAAGACACCCGATGTGCGAAATAGGCTTGTAACTTAGTCTTGTAACTTTTTATTCGTGTTGTAATCGACCTTGTAATCCTTCAGATTTATAATGAAAGTTTATTTTCGTTTATTTGAATGCAATGTTTGCCTTTTTCCTTATTTATGTGCTTCCATTATCAACCTACCACTGAGGTCTTTTAACCATAAAAGACTTGCCAAGTAAAATTCAGTAAATGGATATCCGATGTAATCGACCACCCCTGAGGTCTTCCCTTATTAATCCAACCATAATATTGAGTAACGTGAAATATTCCAAGTAAATTACCAGTTTAATCGACCTTTCTCTGACATTGTTTAATATATATTCCACCATAATCTTAAATGGAAATTTCGCCAAGTAACTTAAATCTTGATCGACCAGCTACTGAGGTCTCTATGATTGGCTCCACATTTGAAAATATAATAATTTTGGCCCTTCTCTTGGTTCGTCATGTATGATGCCTCGACTTGCACCTCCGTCCCTTGTGAGCTCGATCCCTTATCAGGGTTTGAAATGGATGTTGGTCCTCTAGTTTCTGGTTCTTCCACGATCCAACTCTAGGATCGACCACCCAACCTAAAGGCCTTAATCATGGTCGGTTTAACCTTGAACACTTGCCTAACCCCCCTTTGGGGTCGTTCAAGCAAGCGACCATCCAACTCAAAGGCCTTAATCATGATGGATTCGCCTTGAACACTTGCCTAACCCCCTCTCTGGGATCGTTCAAATAAGCGACCATCCAGCCCGAACACCTTAAAAATGATGTATCCTTGAACACATGCCCAACCCACCACTATGGTCGTTCACAATTCTTATTTCACAAGTAACTGATAGAATGGTCTTTTGTACGCCCGATAAAGACCCATTCTATCTAAGTGTAAAATAACAGAACATAGAACTTGTTTAATCAAACATGATTCTCATTCATAAAGGGCAAAAGTGTAATATCATTCAAAGTCTATGTAACACTAACACCTTCCTAAACCGCTCCTCGTTGAATTTCGCCGTTTGCTCAGAGACGCCGAGATGGTCGACGAGTTTGCGGTTGTCGGATTCAAGGCGTTCCTTTTCAGCCATCAAAAACTCAATCTCGGCCCGAGCCGCTTTCACCAAATCTTGTTTCTCATTCACCTTGGCCTTAAAAGTGGCCGATTCAACCTCCAGGGAAGCGATTTTCCCCTCACGAAGCTCCACATTGTCTTTCTTCTCGTCGAGCTGGGAGGCGGTCATGTGATACTTGTCCTCTGCAGCTATGAGGCTCACCAAGGCCCTGCCCAAGCAGGCCTTGGCGTAACCGAACTTGTGAACGCTCAGCATAGCAGAAACACCCGCCTCGGTGACCGGATACCACGACATCAGAGGGACCCAAGCAGCGTAAATCACATGCGATGGCTGGTGGAACTTGTGGGACCACATGCAGGCTTGATTCCCTTAGACCATTAAATCACATTTAATTCCGTCGAACCAGTCTCAAAATACGAGCATGGAATACTATAAATAGCAGCATTCACTCATGTACGAGGATTTTTTTCGGAACACATTAAATACACTCATAAAACAGCTCAGTTCTGCATATGACCGACCTCTTGTATTGGAAACCAGACTTGAAAATGCAAAAACATAGCTAACTTTCAACTTTTCATATACTTAATTTCTGTGATTATCGTTGTTAAATTTCACGTAACAACAATTAGAATGTTAAAATTATACTGGTTAAAAAAAATTATTCCACATTTACCATATTAAATTATTTATGTTAACATTTTATTAGGAAAAAAAATTATTATAGAAAGAAATAAAATAAGGTGAACAAGTTTTCATCGTTTTATTTTTTTCCCGAAATGATAAATAATATTATAAATCAAAATGCACAAATTTACGAATACACAGCCCCTAGCTGAATGGAACAATAAACAGCTGAAAAAGTGGGAGGACAGGTCAGAAGACCGCCTAGAATCACGACACTAGCAAAGCTAGAATAACAACACTCGCAACTACACTAAACCAACTACACAAACAAAAACGGAAACTACTAAAAGATCCCGCCAGAATAATACCCGAGTGTCCGATCCCAACAGGATAATAAGTTGATACAGACCTAAACAACACAAACACGGACAACATAAAACAAAAACAAAACCCAACTATTTATAGAGAACTTCTCTTTAGTAATATATAGATATGAGCCCAAAAAAAATTTATAATTTGCATTAATTGAATAACCTACTATTGATAAATTACATATATATAAAATTATAATTTACATTAATTGAATAACCTACTATATACATGTATATATGTATATTGTTTGTGGGCATATGTCATCGTGGGATGGTACTGTAAATGTTTACAAAAGATTGAGAAAAGTGGAATGTTGCTTTGTCATTGAGTGAATTTTAAGTCAAGTGAGACGTGTGGGGTTTTAGGTGGGTTTGGCCGTGCTTGGATACAGATTTTTTTTTTTATTAATTATGATTAAATTTGAAAAAAGTTAATTTGATTAGCTGTTAGTAGATTCTGAGTTTATATTAAAATAAAATAATTAAAATTGATTTGATGTAAATAATAAAAGAGAGATGATATGAAGTGGTGGTTAATAAAATTATGTGAGTGTATGAATATTAAGTTAAACTTGATTTGATGTGTAATAATTATTGATTAATATTACTTAATAATAATATTAAGGATAATTGTGTTGGATTTTAAAGTTGAATTAGATTTTGAATATGAATTGAGATAATTTATATACAAACACATTTGCACTTTCGGGTAAGTTCGTTAGCCAACATTTAGTCAGTTTTGTAATCATTTGTTGTAGATTTGGATTAATAGCGTTAATATTTAAGGTATTTGTTTAAGATTTCTAAGAACTTTTAAAAATTTTAGATAGCGTTGATATTTAAGGTATTTGTTTAAGATTTCTAAGAACTTTTAAAAATTTTAGAAAATTTGGTGTATTCTATTTAGATTTCTTAAGGTTTGTTGATATTTAAGATATTCATTTAAGATTTTCAACTTTTTTTGAAGATTTTAGAAAATTTGGTGTATCTATTTAGATTTTTTAAGGTTTGTTGATATTAAGGTATTCATTTGAAATATTAAAAAATCTTACAAAATCATGAAATATTTAATTTACTTGAGACTGAAATTTATTAGAATCTTTTAAGATTTGTTGAAATTTCAAAAGAAAAAATCGTGTACGAAATTCACTTTGAATCTCACCTCCATACTTAAGATTTTATAGAATTCCTCGAAAATTCTTATAAAGTTTCAAAATGTCGCTCAAAATCTCAAATGAATTGATGTAATTTAGTGCTACATAATAAAAAATGATAGGAATAGAACTATTCTCAATTTGAATTATGTGAATTCTACGTTCATTTGTTCTCAATTTGTTATTCTATGAAGAACTAACCGGTCCCACCCCTACAATTTCTTACATATTATCATGAATTTCATGTTGATTTAATACTCGATTATTACTATCACTGCAATTACGAAATAACTATTCAGTTCTGTAGATTCTTAAATAACAAATTCTGCCTTTTATTTTTAATATGAGAAAATGTGCATATCCGACACCAGTCTCGAATAGATCTAACCGAGTCCTAATCTATCTCTCTACTGGAAACTTTTTAATTTTACTAGCAGCCAATAATTTTCAGCCAAAATAAACCCAGGGTCAACTCCCATCTGCGTATGGTTGAGCGATATTTTTTGTTATTGTTCTATCTATAGAATATTTAAAAACAAAATAGATATATAAATATTTTACCAGGTTAACAAGCTCTCATAAGATAAGACAAACCATGTTACATCACATTCAGATATCAAAACAGCCTCGTATGTCCACGTTCCAATGTTGATTTTCTCACATCAATAATGCAAATTACCGATCATCTATTAGACCAATATTTTTTTAAAAAATAATAATAATAATTGGACAAGCTTACCAAGACAAAAATGTTAGGCAACTCAGCTAACGTGTGCACCAGACAATAATCACAACAGGAAAAATGGTTTGCAAGTAGTGAAATGAGTCCAAAACATCATACAAGATTAGTTATGTGTTGCATTCCTGAAGAGAGAGTATTATAGGTCGATCAACTTTCTTAAAGGGAGTAAAACTGTGAATACAAATGATCGCGAATATTATAATACTCTTCGGACAAGGGACCTTCAAGAATGATGTGTTGGATGGTGCCACCACCCTATCCCAAAAACACACAAAGTTGAACAATTAAAATAAACATTAAAATCATTCAGCTCGGAAAAGGGATTAATTTCATGGCTAATGAATGAAATTTCAATTGGACAACACTTGCCTTTTGGCTCGAATCTCCGACTTTCCTTATAGTGACATACTCACCACAACGCAAGGCTCCACCCGCAAATTCCACCTGGTAATTAATCAACCCGTGTTTAATTTGTTTTTTCGAAATCACAATTTCTTCCTTGATATTTTAGCTCTATTCCAAGATAATAATATGATCGTCTTTCCTTATAAATCAGTCAAACCTCAAGGACAGTTCTTGGGATCATCGCTTAGGAATAAATATCATTTAGGCCAAAATTGCATTTTTAGTCCTGTTGATTTAACGCCGTAGCATTTTTAGTCCCAATAATTCAACTTTTTATCTTTTGATCCTGTAATTTAGTATTTTGCTGCAATTTCAGTCATTTGGGACTGAAATTGCAACAAAATTTAAAATGACTTAAATTGCTAATAAAAAACCCATCCAAAAGGTCCTGTAGTTTTAAATTTTGTTGCATTTCCAGTCTCAAAAGACTGAAACTGCGTTGAATTTTAAAATCATAGGACCAAATAGCAAAAATGTTCAATTCTTAGGACTAAAAACGCCACTGGATCAAACCAACAGGACTAGAATTGCAATTTTGCCTATCATTTATCTTGTATGCACCATGATGTGTAAAAGAAAAACACTCATGCAGAACTACTGACAAATAATCTTGCTTGTTGAAAAAAAATAAAAAATAAAATAAAAATAAAAGACAAATAATCTTGCTTAAAGCAGAAACAGGTTGAAATACCTGGATACCCTTGCTTGCTAGGTATTGCTTGAAATCGGCCATTTTTAGGTCTCCTACTAAGACTGTCTTATGTGGTGGTGGTGGGGGATTTGAAAAGGGAAGCAAAGATAGTGTGCCATTTTCTGTCTTTCCTACTTCAGCATCAATCCAGGCTATTTCGTAATCCCCGAGCTATAACAAGAAACTAACACATGTATGAGCAGCATAAAAGAAAATAGGAGAGTACACAGTAACATAGTTTGCTACACAACTTTTAACTTGACTTTAGTAGGGAAGAAGAACAAATGTGGTCAACTGAGCAGCTTTTAGCGCAGGGTCACATGTTTTTGCAATCATTTAACCACATCAAAGGTTAGTTCAAACATTTTGTTGGCATTGTTTTACTTTTTACCTTTTTACCCTTGGGAGAAGGATATTTGTTAGGCAACTGCCAAGACTATACTTGCTTATGACTCAATAGTACATTCAGTCAACTTATAGTTTCTCCATTTCCAAAAGGAAAGGCAACACGAAGGCTAAAAAACACTTCGTTCAACACAAACATCATTACCTTTTTAAACAGAACATTGCTCATCAATTTCTCAGAAAGTTGAACCTACATGAAAAATTAAGTAAAATGATCAGTCCTGGATTATAGAGGCATCGTGGATCAGAACTATGGGTGTGTTGTGAAGTTTACTTTATAAGCGCACAAATCTGACGTGACATCAATTGATTCTTCAATTTGTGGAGCATATACATGCGGACAAACATGTTTCAAACAGTGTTGCTTCAAATGCTCAGTGGCTTCTGCCGATCCATGCACCAAAACCTGCAGAGCCAGAAAATATTTGTATCAAATTATTTAATAGAGAATTAGCACATCCAAAAAGATTTCAGCAGTTACTGGAGAAAATGGCATGGGATATAAATAATTGAATATAAGAATTAGAAGCAGAATGATCTCAGTATCTCAACACATTGCCTCCTTCCTAAATAATTAATAATTACTGCTTGGATATAAGATGTTCTCATTTTGTTTGAATTTTTAGTTTGGTATGGTTAATTTTTCAATTTTTAGTTGGGTATGGTTAATTTTGAAAAAAGTGGTATGGCTAGTTGTTAGTGGGATTTTGAGTTTTTATTAAAATAATATTTAAAATAAAATAATTAAAAGTTAATTGAAGTAAAAGTAGGAGAGAGATTATGTGAAGTGATCGTTAGTTAAAATTATGTGAATGGATGATTAATGAATTAAAGTTGATGCAATGTGTAAGAATGATTGAGTGATATTATTTAATTATATTGATAATATTGAGGATAATGGTGTTGGGTTAAAGTTGAATTAGATTTGAGTTAAACAAAAAATAAATAAATAAATAATTGGTTAAAAATGATTTGATTGTTTTCGAAAAATTTGTATCCAAGCATGCACTAATGGCCTAAACCCAATTCTCGGCTGAAATCTAAAAAAGATAGAAAACCTCAATCATAAAAGTTCCTTTTGTGTATTTATTCTTTCTACTTTTATCTGGGAGGGAGGGTGTGCTGATAATTAGGGAATCTGTAGATAGTGACCATGGGTAAACCCTCAGGATTGATGCAAATGCAATGACACGTAAACCAACAGAAATAAACAACAATGGGAAATCTAGCATGCAATCTAAGTAAATATAAAATACGCAATGAAGATTATAACTGCGGCCAGTCCCTAGTGACTATGTGGTTTAGCGATATTCTGAAAGCTCAAGCAATACATTAACTATATCGGTGGTAAATTATGCAATGAACATATAATACACCAATTACTCTTAAGAACCTAAGAGACAAAACAGTATTATGATATAAAAATGCACAAATGAAGAGCTCACAAGCTTTAAAGGGGCAACATGGCCTAGAATCTTCTTGATTGAGCTGCCATCAGAACGGCCTTCAAAGTCCATATAGACCAATGAACACTTGACATGGACCTAAACAAGAGGAAGCATCAAAATGAAAGAATAAGAGATTTGGAAGAACTTGGAAGAGATTTTAGACAAGCAAATGCCGAAATTAAGATAGGTAAGACATACAGGTCCAGTGTGACATTTTACAAGGCATCTGGAGTCAGTATCCACATGATTAAACTTCAATAAATGAAAGATTTGAAAATGACAGTTTAAAGTACCATTTGTGGGAAAATCATGGACAGCAAAAGAGAGATTGAACAGAAGTCAACATAAAAAAGAGTTAAATTTGAGTTTCTCAAATTTCATCATTGACATGGGGGATAGATAACATACTTCACTAGTTTGACCTTAAGCATGATTTTTCAGCTACTTTGTGTCCATGTCTTACAATAGGTTCTTTACTATCTTATTTGACTCACGAGCTAGTAGTTGTAATGCAAAAAAAGCTGTAATATACAGTTAGGTGCCAAACAATTAACAAAATTAGCCAGAACAAGCATACTTGCATGCGTGAATAGAAGGAAGATAAACATACTGTTTGCTCTGAAGATACTACTTTTGATGGTGTTGTATCAAGTATCAAATTGGGAGCTGCTTCATCAAGGTTCCCATTGAGACGGCCGTCAACCTACAACCAAAAACACCAGCTACATGTGCCCCTCATAAACATTTGGAGTAAATTGTATTTTACAGTTTTTACTTGTAAACCACAAATGCATAACATCTACACAAGCATGGCTGCCTTCTCTGAAAGGAACATTAGTTAGTAAAACCTTTTCGTAGTTATCCCATGCCTAATTAATCTTTCAACTTCAGAGTACACACTTTGTTGTACATGAAATATATATAATAAAACACTATTCATTTCTCTAATAAGACACTTCTTTGAAGTCATGTTTCCATCTCCAGATCTTCAGAAGGTTTGTCACATTCCACTCACAATTAGATTCATTCTATAAACCCACTTTACAACTAAGCACAGCTCAGAACTCCGTTATTATCATATCAATAATTCCCTATCAACAAAACCCATCAAACCAAATCCTATGATGTATCGTTAAGCAAGCATTAGCATCTATTGTCCTAGGAAATTGTGGGCATATAGCTATGCCTATTTTTGTTTTAATAAATATCATCAGCATCAGCCTTCACTGATTACATTGGACATCGCCTGGAGATTCAATTTAGGACTCTAAAATAAGTTTATTCATTAGCTTTTCCCAAAATAGAACCACGCCATTTATCTGTAGCCCTGAAGTAAAGTACAAGATCGCAAGATTGAAAGCTCAAGGTTGAAATTATATACAACAAAAACTCACTGGCATAGATCCGTGACCCATGTCTTCATCATTGATTGTATAATCATCAGGGTTGATGACTTCGCCAAAATCATCCCATTCGGAGGAATCATCATAAAAGGGGAACATGGGACCCACAGTAGATGATGATGGAACAAATCCATCAATGAAAACATCCCTGAATGCTCCATGTTGCGAACCAGCACCTGCAAGGAAGCAAAAAGGTAACATCACTACAAGACAGAAGTACATCCTGCCATGCTCTACACATCTCAGGAACAAACACAACAATTAATTGACTATCTTTTATACTTTGAAAGCAAACATGGCGAACAAGGTTATTCATTATCTACAATCTACAAATGCATTGAAAGGCGTTTGAACAGTTGAAGTTAATTGACTTTATTGGATACAAAATTGAAGAAGTTATAAAATCTTGCAAATCATTAATATTTTTATAACCTCTTAAACCAATTTATTTGGATTAAGATGTTGATTTCAATCCTACAAGAATATAAGCAATTTGTTTTGGTGAAAAAGACTATAGTTATGCTGATGTCTAGATCACCATTATCAGTCGTGATATCTCAGTCGAGAGTCAAAACCAAGAAGCCCACCAGTTAAGGGTTGAATGAATGTGGATTTATTTCTTACAGGGCTAATATTATTCAGGTTTTTCATTTTGCGGAAAGTGTTGATGAGTACTAAACTGACATTTTCTTTGACATCAAAAAGTGACAAAGTTTAAGAGAGACGCTAAGCACATTTTTGTACTTTAATGTCACAACAGAAGAAAAGCAAAACATGCATTTAGCAAGAGGAATGAAGAGTTTTGCGAATACCATTTGAAGAAGCTTGATTGATGTTAGCATCAAGTATCATGGGGTCCACTACAGTAAGGTCCGCACCAAGGGAGGCTTTTGCTTCTTCCTCTTTGATGAGTGTAGCCTTAAGAGCTTCTTCTTTTCTTTTCCGATTTTGCTCTTCCTCATAGGCAGCCAACTCCTCCCCGACCAATGGGATTCTCTTGGACATGGTAACCTTAACAGCTTTGGGAGGAGGATCTGACTGAAGCATCCGTGCTAACGTGCCAAACTAAAGTATGAACAAATCAGCATGTGACATGTGTTAAGGTAAAAAGTAAAAGAAACTAATTTGACTAGAGAATTATAATGTGCATCTAAAAAAAGGCAACATTTTACTAGCAGAACCATAAAGAACAATTGCAGAAAAAAGAATAATGAATGCAAAAAGATAAAGAACAAAATTATGAGTGGCATATATGGCAAGTCACTCCGAGCATAATAAAGCATGCACGACTGTATTAAAAACTCAAACATAAATACACTGATTAAGAAAACTATCATACTTTCTAGACCAACAGCACGCCTAGGAGTTAATCATGAGTTTGTGAATATGTCATTTGAAGTGCCAAACCAATTTAACTGATGCTATCATCTTCAGTTGCAATATCTGAAGTACAGTACTTTTAAATTCACAAGCAGACTCATCAATAAGATTCAAAGCAAACCTGGGCTCTCTCAGGAAAAAGTACAAGGTTCTTTGTATCAGCAGCCCATTCAACAAATATATCATGGGAAAATCCAACCTCTAAGCTTCCCATGGATGCTAAGACAATCTGATCAAAACATGCCAACAAAGTCGTAAATAAGAATATAAACAGAGTCAACGCATAAATGATCTAATAATGAGACAAGGCATCCTAACCTTTGGGCCATCAGGACATGCTTCAAGCTCACTCTTGTCGACCAATAGTTTGACATTACTGCAATTTTTTGGTTCAAATAGGTCCAAGTTACAAAATATATAACACTGCAGCAATAAGAAAGCTCATACAGCAAAATCATACATGAGTAGGACAAGTGCTACTGAAAAGCCAGATTTCATATTGAATTTGCTCTTTGTTTAGATAAAACTTTGATGACAAGATTCTAAAGAACTCAGCCCACACGCAAAAGATAATATGTAAGAAGGAATCTGGAAAAGAGGCAAATCACAGTGAACATGTCAGACAGATATTTATTTCCAATTGTTGAAATGTCTTACTTCAGGAAAAAGGCATTATCCCGTGTGTTCTCGAAGGATTTCGCAACTGAGTCACTCATCCACTCAAGTAAACTCTTCGCAAAGTCAATCGTGCTTGATGAAACATATGTCAAGAAGAAGATAGGATACATCACTTCTTCCTGGTTCCAATACTGCAAGTTTTATTTGAAAGTGAACATAACCTATGGATAAAAAATTACTAAAAGACGGAAAATGTCATTGGAAAGTTCCACTTACCTGCTCCAGTATCAATAGGAGCTCTAACACTCGACCAGCAGTATCCAATGGAATTAATACTTTTCCGTCGGCTCTTAATGTCTTCAGGATGACCTCTATAGTGAACAAGAATAAGAACAGATATTTGTCTTGCTGAAGAAAAATCTAAATTCATCAAATATTACATCAATAAGGATGACTAGATCCATATTCCACGGAGCGAATGAAAACAATGCAAGATTTTGGGAAACTTCTCTTTTCTACAATGTAGAACAAAATTCTGAATGAGAAAGCAATAGCTAAAAGAGGAGGGTGCTGGTGATGGTGATCTTTCAGAAGTGAGAAGCTAGAAATTTTGATTGACAAAGCTCAAATATGCTAAGAAGACTACAAAGCTAATGCATCTAGTGACTCCCCAAATGGAAAAGTTTCAAATTTGCAATCAATTAAAGCAATAATCCACTTGTACCATAATTATTACCTAAAAATTGTTGATCCTTTTGACGTCTTGGAGGCTGATTACTCAGTAAAGCATTGTATGCATCTGTTATAAGAACTGCAGGGCGCACAAAAGACTCCAAAACTGTTCCATTCAAATGTCTGATCGAAACAAGTCAAGAATATATTAGTTTCTATCCTATCCATAAATGAACACACTCTAGGGCTAATTGACCAGATCACCTTTCTTTTCGATGATTAAAGTCAACAGCATATATAACATCCTCCCCGTCTTTGGTTACTTTCCAAACTGTTCCCCCTAAAAGGTGACCAGCTGCATGGGGGGCAATAACTATTCCTTCTCCATTTCCTAGGGTTAGTTATAAGAAAAACATAAGATCACTGAAAAGATAGGATTAACATATAAGTCACGCAGAAGACGATGCTCCTTCAGGTCAGGAAGATTCACCTGCAATGAAAAGCTTCTATGGTAGAATAGTATGCTGACAGATGTAGTCCACGATAATGAAAAAAAAATCAGAATTCAGCATGGAAAAATGCATGGAGTGTCAGAATTCAGAATACATGTTTTATGGATGCAAAATTTTGCAGCAATATCTGAAGCTTAAGGTGTTAGTTAGCTCTTTGCAATTTTATTCGTACAGAAATTACAGCATAATTTGAGTGAGTGTGCACACAGACAGAGACTTTGAAAACATCAAATGGGCAACGATTAATAATATATCGC